TTCATGTCAACCAAACATTCTTTTTTGCATGCAGTGTTCTCACCATTCAACATTTCTCCCAATTGAAGAATTTCGTTGCCACCTCCTTTGCGGTTCTTCATGTTCACGGTTGCGTAGAGCCCCCCAGTTTGAGTGCGCGCAATCTTTATCTTCTCAATTTGAGTAACCGCTTTGCACCTCGATGTAGATTTCGCCTTTGCTTTAGCAGTGGCCTGCATCTTCTTGATAAGTTTCTCCATCCTCTTAGTATTAGGACGTCCAGGAAGGTTTTTCTTTGCGTACTTTTTCTCTGTCTCCACAAGCTTCCGATTGCATTGAAAATTACCATCGGTTACGACGTCAAGCTTGCAGCGCGGGTGCTTGTATAACGGATCGTCTCGGGCAGCGTTGAAAATCACATGCAAGCCTTTGTTGCCCGCGTCGAAAGCTTCGTCACCGTCCGGCACTGGATCGTTGATATCGAAATCGAAGACCCCCTCTTGCAAGCGAAGGAAGCAAAATATAGCTTGCAAAATGGCTCCGCTTAGTTGCTGGTTGTCCTTTACAGATTGAATTGTTTTACTGGCATTCCCGATGATGACGTCTGGATACGACAACGATATCACTGCTGCCTCGGCCCCCGCCGATGCGCCTGCGCGACACATGCGGTGCCGCATCTGCACGAGGTAATTATACGTGAAACCAAGTTGTGCGCGCACTAAAAGAATTGGGTTGCTGTCAGTTTTCGTCATAATGTTTTTTTCTTCGAGCCAGAACGCGCAATGTAGTTTAGTTTGTAACGTAACCCACAGGGCCCGTTCGTGCAAAGCTTCGTTGAGTGGCGCACCACGCACCACTCAGCTCCGTTCCAGACAGTGGCATCATGCGTCCAGCAGTGCCCTCGCTTCTTCTCCAAATCCCAGCCGCACTCTTTGCGCGAGTCTATATCCGGCCAAATAATCGGGATACTCTGTTCTACCATTGCAGATAAGGACGTCCAGCAGACGTTGGCGTTCTACAATGCCCTCTTGAGCCTCTGGCCAGGAGGGCGAGGGAGGATAAGGAACGACAGAAGAAAGATGAAGACGAACGTAAATGATGGATGATGACAGTGCAGGAAGAGGATGACACAGGGGAGATGTGCTTTCATTAGCACCGGGCATTTCTGCATCCCTGCACGAGCGGCGCGCTCGTGAACTGGGTGCATTTTGCCCCGAGGGGACGAGGGGGGGAGTGACGATGATGAGTGCGCGGGGGAAGAAGAGGGATCATGGAAGGGAAAACGAATGAGGATCGACGAAGAAATAGGAAACTAAACGAGGAGGAAAGAGGAAGGAAGAATATGAAAGAGAGCGATGAATGATTATGCAAAATGATGATGTTTTGGGTCAAAAGAGAATGATATGTTGGCAATAGTATACCAACATTTGAGAGATGCATCAGCTTCTTGTTCTTAAGCCACACGATTGGCAACTGTCAATGAACGAAGGCGGAAAGCATTGCTCGGCGCCAGGCACAGTCAACCAGCTGTTGACATAACAAATCAACGGATCTTTGCCATCTGCATGGCAATGCGGAAGCAATGTTGGAACTGAAGAGTCAACCATCAGTTGACACAACCAACAGCAAGCTTAACGATAAGAACAGTCAACCAGCAGTTGACAACACTGAAAGCCACAACTCATTATCCCATCAGTCAAAATCTCAACTACACAGAGGTACGCAATTAGATCATAAAGTGCAGAGTTGTCAGCAAGCAACCGACTTCAGATTCGCATCGCGGAGTTTGAAAGTTTGTGCGAACCGCTTTCAATGCAATATGCATTTCTTACATGCCCGCCTGTTGATGACCAAACGGGCCCTCTTCCTCTTCGATGTTGCCTGGGCGGGAACCCGCAGACATTCCCGCGTTGACACGAGACTCATGAACAGTGCGGGCCAGTTCCTCCCTGTCAATTTCCTGCCACGCTCTCTCCATGTCCGCATCTTCGTCGGCTAGCTCTGCCTCGGCCGTGTTCTTCTCTTTCTTGGGTGCGACAGGACACTCTAGTTCCTCTGCCTTGTGACGCTTCCTCTCGGGCGTATCAGCAGTCAGGTCAAACTCGCATCCGTTGTGAGGCTCTGCCTTCGTTGCTAGAATGCGCTGCATCTCTTGCACGTCCTCGAGGTTGCCACAAAACGAAATCGGAGCTACATTCGCGCTGCGATCCACAGAGCTAAACCCGGCATTTGTTAAGTAAGGATGATCGTATGACTGAGACGACATTGCTGGATCATTGAATAATCCTCTGGCACCCCGCGCAGATGCAGCCCTGATCGTTCTCGACGAGGGAATCGGCTCGCCCTTCATAGCCCGGTTCAAATATTCCAAAGACCACTTTACATCGTCATGGTAATTCGGCGGAACCTCCTTCAGTTGTCCATTTTTCCATTTCTGCATAAGGATTTTCACCTCCGGTTTGAATATGTCCATCTCTTCGCCGTCCGACCAATGGATAACGGGGACGTCCACTAACTCCTTGGTAGCATTGCGGTGGATGATGCCGTCGCGAGTGACGACGATGGTGTGGAAACGACGCCTGAATGCTACCCAGTCCTCTTCGTCTGCTTCTTTATCAAT